AGACATTCGTTTCTTTTGATTCAAAGTGCTACGTGCCTAGGGCTATGTGCTCTTTTATCCATGGTATAAATGTCGGGCCTAGCATACTATTTCTGAGTATCGAAATCTCGTCCCTGATAACCCTGCCCGTAGTGCATATCCTACCACTATTTCTACTAGGTCTTTTGCGCGTACATTGAGGTACGTTCTACTACATAAAACAAGTGCATAGAGTGCTTGAAAGCTCTACAGCCACGGCACGAAACAAGAAAAACGACTGGCGAAATTTGTCACGTGCGTGAACATCAGAATGAACAGCATACAAGCCTCGAGGGTCTAGCAGTATGGTTCGCCCTTAGGGATTCGTTTCTCTAAATGATTAGGCGTGTTTCAGTGCTACTAAAAGAGAGACAGTACTCTAAGTTGTCTACAATGATGTAATCTCAAGCGCTGAAAGAAGCCCTGATGGTCTAGTGGTATGATTCACCCTTAGGGAGCTCTTCGGGATTCAATTTGAACCCCGATTTTCCGTGTGGGTGAGGTCCCCGGTTCAATTCCGGGTTAGGGCCCGCTTTTTGGCATGTTTTACTCTCACTTTTCACTCCTCAAAACGACCAGATCGTGTAAAAAGCAAGTTGGGCATTAAAAAATGCCATTTTTTCGATTTTAGCCACAAATTAAGCACTGAAACCAAGGTAGCACAGGCGTAGAGCTGTCTAGATACACTCCGCACTATAGCACAGTGCGAAAAAAAACGCAACAGCACCGCATATAGCACGGGGCGGCACGCATACACTTATGATCCAGGACATGGGTCACGTGATACAAACAGACACTCGCAAATGCCGCCAACGGCACTCATTCAGTCAAAACTGCTAAAATATGCACCAAGTGCTTTGTGTCTTCTGTACTCATGACTTTCAAGCTTGGTATCCCGTGAAATTCATACCGTTTCATACATATCAAAAATTGTGCCTTGTGGCGGAAAATGCATAGCGTGTTGGCCGGTTTAGGTGGAGTATGTTTGATCCCACTTTCATCTCGTATAAGCATCGCACTGGAAAGATGGATACCGAGTGGAGTGCGCTTCAAGTCGACACTGCACTTGATAACTGTCACAACCATGTCTATTGGACTAGAGATACAGTGATAGTGATAAATACGTGTAAAAAAGCTCAATAAATATATGCTTAATAAATGGATGAGGATGATGCAGGAGAGACAAGTGCCAAGGAGATCAACGAGGGAACAAGTGATGGCCCAAGAAAAAATGATCTAGAAAAAAAACGAGTGGCAATGTAGATCGGTCAATTTAGACTCGGTTGTTCAAGTACGTCAAGAAATAAACAAGCGGGGGCAAGTCGGACATGGCGATGTTTGTATACGCAGATTGTCGTGTCCTATAATTGGGTGAGTTCGGACTGGGAGGCGGTGTACTGCATGCGGACGTACCCTGTGAACTTTAGCGCGACGACGGGACCTTTCCATTGGTACTGGCTTTGGCCGTGGGTTAGTGCATGGACAGAGGCGTTTCTATTCAATCCGAGGCGATGTCAGTTTGTGATTCTTGGAGGGATGATATGATTGTACTTACGTTCGGGAGCCGTCAGTGAGGAAGTGTGTCCGGAAGAATACATGGAGCGGGAAACGAAGTGTCTCGCCTATACACTTGTTAGCAGTGCATATGATGGCAGAATAGCTGCAGGCTCACCTCCAACGCCCTTTGTGATGATCATGCTCGTGACCTCTTGCTCATGTCCAACGATCCCATTGAGCTTGGGCACCCAGTCCATCACCCCGTTTGCCTGCTCAGTGCCGCGCAGCGTCACTGGTATCATCCTCGGACGCTCCTGGTCGACCGGGAAGACCATCGCTGTGATCGGGGTGTCAATAAGAGGTTTTCGGTCGACTCGGAAGTGCTTACCTTGGACGGTGACAGAAGTGCTCGTTGATTGGCTCGCAGCAGCAAGTGCGCCGCATTCCTGCTTGTGACGCGGCCAGTCGGCCTCGAGATGCTCTGGAGAGCAGTACCATTGGCTCTCGCATCTGAAGACATGTCAGTGAGCTGGTGAAGAGCGATGAGGGGCTGAAAGGCG